AAAAAAACACCAGAATAATGAGAACCATAATATGACAAAACACATTTACATCTGTCATCTATGCAAGTATATAATATAAATAAATAAACATTTTTTTAAATAAAATTAAAAAAAAAAATAGAGGATTTAATTTTAAAACGAAAGTCCATCTTCCACCCGACCCCCTCCAAAAGTAAACGCCCTGTTTCATTCAAACCTACAACTTTTCCTTAATTTTGCTTCTGACAATGATTCAACACAACAACAAACTCAAACTCACCTGTCCTTAATCCAACAAATCATCCAAACACCTTCAAACTCAATCATTATCTCACTATCTTGGAGCAAAAAAAGATTCAAACTAAAACACACACACACACACACACTCTCTTGATGACCAATAATCCCCTTCAACCTCCTTCTCCTCCCAACTCACCCAAGATTCATCTCTTCTCAAATTTACTGCTCAAAACAATACTAATAATAATATCGATTTCTATCTTACCACGTACCTGCCACGGCGCGTGTAATCCCCTGGATCGCGGCTCGCTGGTCCTGTTCAACCTGACCCTCTCGTCCTCTTCGACTCCTCTCGCGTGGGCACCACTGCTCGACTGCTGCGAATGGGATGGGATCGTCTGCAACGAGACCGGCAGAGTAACCGGACTGTGGCTCCCCTCGAGAGGCCTTTCCGGTAAAATATCCCCTTCGATTACCAACCTCACCGGCCTCACCCAGCTCAGCTTATCCAATAACAGGCTTTCAGGCCCACTCCCGGCCCGATTCTTCCACCTCCTAAACCGACTCCAGGTCATCGACCTGAGCTGTAACAGTTTAAACGGCGGGATGGCTGCATTGGGCGCACTTCCCGCCACTCTACGGATACTCAATTTATCGAGCAATCGCTTTTCCGGCGCGGTCGAGCCGTGGTTTTTCGAAAAGGCGGTAAGTTTGGAATCACTCGACTTCAGCAACAACAGTTTTTCCGGGGGGTTACCTTCGATCGTCTGCGGATTTTCGCGCTGGATCAAAAAGCTTGATTTTTCCATTAACGAGTTCACGGGCACTATAGGCCCGGGATTCGGCCGGTGCGCGATTTTATCGAGCCTTAGGGCCGGGTTCAATAATTTATCCGGTGAGGTCCCGCTGGAGATCTACCGGCTGTCTTCGCTCGAGGAGCTGTATTTCCCGGGGAACAGACTGGTGGGGCCCATTGACCCGCGGGTCGTAAGTCTTGCTAACCTTAAAACACTTGCGCTTTTCGGAAATGAGCTGGAAGGCCCGATACCTGAAGAAATCGGGCGGCTTTACAGGTTGGAGAAGCTGCAGCTTCACATAAACCAATTGAATGGCACTATTCCCGCCTCGCTCGCCAACTGCACGAACCTGACCGTGCTGAACCTGAGGGTGAATCTGCTAGAAGGGGAGCTCGATTTCGTTAATTTCTCGGGATTCGTGCGTCTAGAGAAGGTTGATCTCGGGAATAATTTCTTCCGGGGAGGTCTGCCAAGGAGCCTCTTCACATGCAAGATGCTGATGGCCGTCCGTTTAGCGACCAACAAACTGTCGGGCGAGATTTTGCCCGAGGTGGGCTCCCTGCAGTTCCTCTCATTCCTCTCCATATCCAACAACAGCTTAACCAATGTGACAAACGCCATTCGGATCCTCACGCGCTGCAAGAGGCTGAGCACGTTAATCCTATCCAAAAATTTCTACAACGAGTCGTTACCCGTTGAGGAGAGCCTGAACGGGTTTGAGGATATGAAGGTATTGGCTTTCGGCGGATGCAACTTCTCGGGCTCGGTCCCAAGCTGGATACGCCAGCTGGAAAAACTCGAGGTTATTGATCTGTCGTTTAATTTGTTCACTGGACCTGTCCCGGGCTGGTTTGGGGGCTTGCCGAATTTGTTCTACTTGGATTTGTCATATAATCTTCTAACCGGGTATTTCCCGCTCGAGATGATCAAGATGCGAAGATTGTCATACGTGCAAAATTTGGATGAAGTTGGGAGCACGACTCTAGAGCTACCTGTGTTTGTGAAGCCCGATAATGCCTCGAATCAGCAGTATAATCAGCTCTCGAATTTACCTCCGACAATATATCTCAACAACAACAGCATAACTGGCAATATACCTGTTGAGATTGGTCAGCTCAAGTTCATAATGGACTTGGATCTTAGCCACAACAATTTCACTGGCAGTATACCAGACACCATATCGAATCTCACCAATTTAGAAAAATTGGATCTTTCCGGAAATAACCTCACCGGCCAAATCCCGGCATCACTAAAGAATCTCCATTTTCTTTCCTTCTTCAGTGTCGCACACAATGACCTCGAAGGCCCAGTACCCATCGGTGGTCAGTTCGACACTTTCCCGGTTTTGAGCTTCGAAGGAAATCCGAGGCTTTGTGGTCGGATTTTGCAGCGCCCATGCACCGATAATAGTCAGTCAGGCAATAACATGATCCGTTCAAGAACCGAGAAAGAGAACAGAAAGAGAACCATCAAATTAACACTTGTTATATCCTCGGTTGTTTTCACACTGATCCTTCTTCTGTACTTGTTTTTGTACAAGAGGAAAGTCCTGCGGAGAGGCGGAATCGAGGAGAAGGACATGGACGTAATTTCTTTCAACTCGTCGGGCGTATTTCCGGAAATCCCCAAAGAAACCAGCCTCGTCGTGCTTTTCCCGAACAACAAGAGCAAGATACAGGAACAGGACCTCTCGGTGGCTGATATACTGAAGGCCACCGACAATTTCAACCAGTCGAACATAATCGGCTGCGGCGGGTTCGGGTTGGTTTTCAAAGCAACTTTAGCCGACGGCACGAATCTCGCCATCAAGAAACTCTCAGGAGACATGGGGTTGATGGAGAGGGAATTCAAGGCTGAGGTGGAGGCTCTGTCGACAGCTCAGCATAAGAACCTCGTCACTCTACAGGGCTACTGCCTGCACGACGGGTACAGATTGCTGATATACTCTTACATGGAGAATGGGAGCTTGGACTACTGGCTGCACGAGAAGCCCGACGGGCCGGCCCAGCTCGACTGGCCCGCTCGTTTGAAAATCGCTCGGGGGGCGAGCTGTGGGGTGGCATACATGCACCAGATATGCGAGCCACACATCGTCCACCGTGACCTCAAGTCGAGCAACATCCTTCTCGATTGCAACTTCGAGGCCCACGTGGCGGATTTTGGGCTTGCGAGGTTGATTTTACCTTACCATACACATGTCACCACGGAATTGGTCGGGACTCTCGGGTACATCCCGCCTGAATACAGCCAGTCGTGGATAGCTACCTTGAGAGGGGATATGTACAGTTTTGGAGTTGTTATGCTCGAGTTGTTGACGGGGAAGAGGCCCGTCGAGATGTTCAGGCCCAAGGCCTCGAGGGAATTGGTCGTGTGGGTTCAGCAGATGAAAAACGAGGGGAAACAGGTGGAGATTTTCGATCCTCCGTTAAGGGGAAAAGGGTTTGAAGATGAGATGGTGCAAGTGCTAGACATTGCTATACAATGTGTCAACCAGAACCCTTACAAGAGACCGACTATAAAAGAAGTCGTTGAGCAGCTCGAGAGTGTGGGGCCCAACCGGCAGACGAATGTAAATACTGAAATCTAAACTGAGGCCCCCTTGAAAAGATAAGATTTGTGATGAGTATTTTTCTAAGTTGTACAGAGATTTTTTTTTTGGCATTAAAAGAAATTCATGAATGGAATAGTCATGTATATGTGCGGCAGATAGAAATTTGATCAACTGAGTGTGGATTTCCCATGTGGTACGTAAATTTATCAATTTCGAAGTGGATTTAAAACTCTCCACTGCGAAATTATACGGACACAGATAGGATAACTGGAAAATGCTTTCTGATCATGATAATAGCATTCCACCACCTGCTCAACAAATACTGACAGCATATTGAGCAGATCACAGAAGTCGAAATCAGTCTAACAGAGCCGCTGATTTTCTGCCTCGTACAATGCTAAACCATACAAAAAGCTAAAGTCACAAATGCATATTTATAGAAAGGTAGATTCGCTTAATTGTGCACCTATGTAAGTTAGATTGGAATTGCTTGGAAAACTATAGAAGTTTGTGTTAATTATGATGGATCCAAATGACTTCCGACATTTTAGCAAGAGGCTCCCTCAAGTTTGCCCGGGTGAAACCATTGTCTTCTAAATTTTCAACATTATAAATCAATGGCTTTCACAATCATTTCCTAGTAAAAAAGTCTCTCCCAAAAGCAAATCCCACAAAATCATAACCAAAAAGTTTCGAACGGTATGTTCTCTTTTCAGACAGGTAAAGAATCATATTCAAAGTCCTCTTCAACCATCCAATATATCCAAATCACCAAAGTAACTTTTCAAAAGCAAACAACTGCTACATACTATAATTAGTCATTCATTTTTCTCTATTTTATAAGCCTTAAACATCTTTCTAAATCTTGGGGCATCTAATTATTACCTTCTTAGAAATTTCAGCCATGCAGTACTAACTTTCTTGCTGTCCAATTAACACCAACACATCTACACACTTCAAAGCTGGCGACTCCTATCATTCTCATCAGCTACGAGACATTACAGCTCGAAGAAGAAAAGCTCAATTATTAAATCAACCAAACCTTCCAAACTTTGATTACTTAAAAACTTAAAAAGGATAGCACGATCTTTCTATTTTTTCGAAAGCGATAAATTAGCATATCATTAATCAAAACCAAGTACAATAAGAGTATACCCTCCTCCTCTTGGAATTAGCAACAAAAAAACTATAAAACACGAGAAAAAAACAGGTAACAACTAGAAACTAAACACTCTTAGACTATAACTCTCCATTTCTGAGCTCAGAAAAATCCATTTCTTATCTAAAACCATATGAAAATCAAGCCAAACAACAACAACAACAGAAATGATTCATATATAAACAATAAAATGACTACTTATATGAATCTTTTTCGAACTCAGCTCATTTAAATATTACCACAATCACATAGAGTCGGGCAAAAGAAAAAAAAAAAAACAAAAAAAAGGGCAATGCCTGCCTCATTTCATCGGGCTAAGCTCGTCCCCTCGGGGACATCCTATAAAAGGAACGATACAGAGAAGATTAGCATGGCCCCTGCGCAAGGATGACACGCATAAATCGAGAAATGGCCCAAATTTATTCATCGGACTAAGCTCAAATTAACTCATCTGCTTGAGAAATTGAGCGTAAAAATATGGTAATTGCAGATCTGGGCAGTGAAATTTGATGGTTTTTAATGGTGGAATTTGGTTAAAAGCAAGGAGGGAAATAGGGGAACAGAGAGTGACCGTTGCTGAGGATGATGGCGAGTGCAGAAGCTGGAAGAATGTGGTCTCAGGTTAGATTTGTTAATTTCAGTGGGCTTATGACGAGTTGAACTCGATCTTGTTTAGTTATCGAGCCAAGGCTAGATATTTAATATAGGATGGTTGAATTAAACTCGTAAATATTGATAAACGAGTCAAGTTCAAGCTCATTTATTGGTTCCGTTTCTTGATAAAAGCTTGAGCTCTTTGACTCGAGCTCATTTATTGGTTCCCTTTCTCGATAAAAGCTCGAGCTCAGATTATAGGAACTCAAGCTCAACTCAACTTGTTTACACCTTTAGACATGGCCATTTTCATATTTTTTTTCATGGGATTGTAAGAACATTGATATTGTGAACTATTTATTCACAAATTCTGCCAGTTCAAAATTCTCCATTTCCCAACTGCGCAATATTACGATTTTTTCGAATTATTCTATTAATGTTTAACCCATTTTTTTGTACCAAAATCAAACTAAAATTGTCTTTCTAATGGATCTCCAATGCAAGCAAAAATAGAATATCGTATCAACTTAGATCATATCAAAGACAATAATTCGGTACAGAATGAATAGCATAAGGCACAAACACAAAGGTTTGCTTAAAATGTTCTCAAATGAAAATAGAACTGAATATAGTACAACATGTCAGACCAAACGCGCGCAGAAATCGTGAAATTATCGACCCCAAAAATACGCCAAAGTTAGTTGTAAACCATATACTTTGGCGTGGCACTGAATTTTTGGTAGCCTTTGATGACTTTATTGACCGCATCAAGAAAGTCTTTCTCTGTGACCGTTTTCCTTCTTGCTCTGATGGCATACATTCCAGCTTCTGTGCAAACGCTTCTTATATCGGCACCTAATTTTTAGAAACCACAAAAGAAAATAATCGTCAAACATAATACGAGCATTCGCTTAATTGGAGCCTTCTATGGAAAGGATAAATTATCAGGGGCAAGTTTTGCGAGAGTTCCGAGTATAATTTTTGTTCATATCAAAGCAAACGAATAATATAATACAAGCTGGAATTGGAGGAGTTGTAAAAGTTGTGACATTTCTTTACTTTACCAGTAGAATTCGGGCAAAGCCGAGCAAGGAGTTCAAACCGGATATCCCTCTCGCAATTCATGGTTCGTGTGTGAATCTTGAAAATCTGAGTCCTACTTTCCAAGTCAGGCAGTCCAAACTCTACCTTGCGATCTAGCCGTCCAGGACGTAGAAGTGCCGGATCGAGGGTATCGGGTCTACATAATTGAAAGAACGAACACAAAAAAAAAAGTCATTAATTTATTTAGGCTATGTTTGGTAAAACTAGCTATATCAGTTATAAGCTAGCTTTTAATGCTATGTTTGGTAACTAAATAAGCTAGCTTATAGCTTATAAGCTTCCTTTATTCAAATAAGGTTCGTTTGGTAGGATGAGTTTTTTTTTTTAAAGATCGAGCTTATCTAATAAGCTTCTTTGGTAGCTTTTCAAATAAACTCATTGGAAATTTTATTTTAGGTAGCTTATCAGCTAATTTTACACACACTTTAATCATATTTTCAGCTATAAGTCATAAGCTATAAGTATAAGCTTGAAAATCACTGATAAGCTATAAGCTAGCTTATTAGTCATCAGCTAATAAACACAACCAAAGAGACTTTCGAGTTATAATTGATAGCTTATGACTTATGGTTGAAAAACTAACTTATATGAGAATAGTGTTTGGTAAAATTAGCTGATAAGCCAACTAACAATGAGCTTATTTGAAAAGCTACTCAAAGAAGCTTATAAAATAAGCTCGAGTTTTTTAAAGAAGGTCGTCTTACCAAACCAAGCTTATTTCAACGCAGGAAGCTTATATGCTAATCAAATAAGCTTGAGCTAGCTTATATACTTACCAAACACATCCTTAATAATCATTGATAATGCTATATATCACAAATGTCGTGACGAGAATAGAAAAACCAAACCAAACTAACCTATTGGTAGCCATGAGTACTTTAATATTTCCACGAGCATCAAATCCATCGAGCTGGTTCACAATCTCAAGCATAGTACGTTGAACTTCATTGTCTCCACCCACACCATCATCAAACCTTGCGCCTCCAATGGCATCCACTTCATCAAAAAATACAATGCAAGCTTTCTTAGAGCGCGCCATCTGGCAAAGAGAAATAGGCGAAGGCGTAAGTTAACAGTTTCCAATTTACGATGAGAAAATATATTAAGGACGTGCTAAAATATAAATATATTTTTCTGTAGCTTTTTTTGGCCAATTATGGTTAATTTTGAAAAATGTGGCATGGTGAGTTGTTAGTGAGATTTTGAATTTATATTAAAATAATATTTAAAATAAAATAATAATTGATTTGTAAAAATAGGAGATAGATTATTTGAAGTGATAGTTAAAATTATGTAAGTGGGTGGATAGTGAATTAAAATTGACATAATGTGTAAGAATGATTTATTGAGAGTATTTAATTATATTGATAATATTGTCACTTTTGTTAGTTTTGTTAGTTCAACAGGACCAACCTGAAACAGTTCACGAACCATACGTGCACCCTCACCAACATATTTCTGAACAAGTTCGCTACCAATAACACGAATAAAGCAAGCATCCGTTCGATTAGCCACGGCTCGGGCTAGTAGGGTTTTGCCAGTGCCAGGTGGGCCATAACATAGGACCCCCTTCGGCGGATCAATCCCCAGCTTCACAAATTTCTCAGGGTGAAGCATGGGAAGCTCAACAACCTAAGTAAAATCAAATATCACATGATTTTCAATCAAAGACTTAAAAAAATATATATTCAAAAGCATAAATATACACACACACATATATATTCTATTATAAATATAACATACCTCTCGCATCTTTTCAATCTGCTCCTTGCATCCTCCGACATCATTATAGGTGACATCAGGTTTTTCCTCAACAGTCATCATTGTGACACTAGGATCAATTTTTGGAGGCAAAGGAATCTGGATTTGATATTTGTTTCTGTCCACACTGCATTTACATGTAAAGTGTAAAGAGTAACAATTCCTATCATGCCAGCAAATTAACAACATTCTGAAGCAACAATAAACTTTCGAGCCTACAGAACTCTTTCATCTATACTTCTTTCATTGTACCGAAATGAATAAATTCTATTAAGGGTTAAAGTTAAAGAGGTGAGGTAAATGAAATAACTCAATAAGTCAAGAACCATCAAGAAGGTAATATGCAGCATGTCAGTAACCCAGTGAGGTAATAGCCAAAGGGAAACAAAAAACGTTTATCAAAAGAAAAAGGTCCCATATGAAACTGAATGGGCTCTAAAGCACGCGAGCTCTTATTTGGGTCACAGAATAAAAAAGAAAATAAACAGATTTTATGGAAAATATATAAATGAAGTAGTCAATTTGGCAAACACACAACACTCACATTTGTAAACCAGGACATGGATGGAAGCTTACCCGACACGCATGCCTTCTTCAATATCAGTAGGGGAAACTTTATCGCCCAATCCAACAACAAACTGCAATGATAGAATATAAGACATAATTTTTCAACCACTTTAAAAATCTTATCAAATATAATTGCTCTATTTAATTTTCTAGAGCTGAGCGTTGGAACTGGAAGACTTACCTTTGCAATTTGCTTAACATTTATAACATACTTAGCATCCTCAGTGTTGGGACTGATTATCTTTGTACATCGTGCAACCTGTTCACCGAAGTTAAGTTGCATGCCAAAAGTGTATAAAATGAATGAGAAAAATCTATTTCGGGAGAATAGAATTACTACCTGAAGAGGTTGCTCTTCCTGCATCATTTGCTTATCTGAAACAAGATCCCATTGACTGGGTGCTGCTAAACCAGTATCAGACTCCTTGATACCTATAACAAAGTAAAAAATTTACACATCCTCATCAGCATTGATATATATATATATATATATATATATATATATATATATATATATATAACCAAGTTTAGAATTCTAGAAAAAATGCTATTTAATAAGAAAAGAACAAAAAGGAAAAGCTACTCCTAACATTATTATAACAAGTTAGTAAAAGGTTCTTAAACCAAATTTAATCCAAATAATATATCACCAGAAGTTACTAGAGGGACAAAAACATGGACAATTAACATACCACATAAATCATTGATCTTCTTTGCCATCTCCTTGATTTCCTTCTCAACTTTCTTTATGCTTGTCGAGTAAGGTCCCAAGCCCTACATACAAAATTCCATAAGATTCAACAGAAACCATAAATTCTAAAATAGAACATAAAAACTCATTTTGGGCTCATTACACAAAACCCATGAAAATAAACTCAGACACTATAATCAGAGATGTCACTGTGAAAGGTAAGTAACCTATGATTTGTCAGTAGTCATTATCCCCACTCAACTAAAGATAAGAGCAAATCTTCCTATTCTGGATTCTCAACACAAACCACCAAAATCCAACATCGTCCAAAAGATAATTAAGGAAAAGGCTAACAAAATCTTAAGGCCAGGCCAGGCCAGGCCCGGCCCGGCTGCACTAATCGAGCTATAATTACGTTTTAAGAACTAAAAGGAGCACAGTTTTCCACCGAGTTTCCATAACCTAGATCCTAAATCTCCCACCAAAAAGGCAAAAAAGCTATAAATTTGAGATCTCCCATAGTCTCAACACATGAACAAGTATCCAAAGCATTCAATTCAACCAAAAATTTCACTTCTCCCAATTACAAACATGTGAGCAAAAAAGCAGATCAAAAGACAGGGTTTGTAGAAAATTTTGAAAAAGTAGATTTACATAGGTCTTGAGGAGGGCGATATCGTCTTCGTCGAGCGGCCTAGGGTTTTTCTCGTCCTTGATCTCATCCTCAGGCTCCGGTGCCATTTTCGAAGATTTTTTGCTACCTAATTCCCCTTTACGAGCTCGAGCTGGTGTTTAACGAGCTACTTTCTTGAAGAACATGATACATACACCGGTTTATATGTATACATAATCACGTGCTTGTCACTTATTGGGCTGCCATATCCATTAAGATAAATAGGCCTAAATTAATGTAGGCCTCCTAAAAGGTGACGGAGGCCTGCAAAGATATAACTTGTCCTGGGGTCAATTCAAAGTCTCAAATATATTTTCATTACATCATAAAAAATTGCCTTGTTTTTCCTTTATCTTTTTTTTTTTATTATTTTTTTTGTTAAATTACAATTTTAGTCCTGTTGGTTTAATCCAGCGGCGTTTTTAGTCCTAAGAATTAAATATTTTTGTTATTTGGTCCTATAATTTTGAAATTCAACGCAATTTCAGTCCTTTGAGACTGATTAAAATTACAGAACTAAAATTGTTAATAAAAAATCTAAATTTTGTTTGGGACTGAAATTGCAGCAAAATACTAAATTACAAGGTCAAAAGAAAAAATTAGGACTGAAATTGCAGCAAAATACTAAATTACAGGATCAAAAGACAAAAAGTTAAAATCTTGGGAATAAAAATATTACGACGTTAAATCAGCAGGACTAAAAATACAATTTTGCCTTTGTTTTTTCATTCAAGCAAATTTGGGCTAAACTACACTCAAAATTATATCCTTGTGCATACACATATAACTAAACTATGTGAAATTCACATGAACATCATGGAACAAACTGAGTAACTATGCCGAGGGTTATTAGTTATTACAATGTACAAAGCCTATAGCACTTATTATGAAGCTCTCAATACATAAGAGTATGGCTGCAAAACAATAGAGTGGAACATGAACACTTTTAATACAAAGAACAAAGTTTTCAATAGCTACAAAAAGCTCTAAACCTCCTAAAAGACCGAGTTACTTTGAATACACCACATAAGAATTATCTGTGTACTAATTTGATGATTCAGTTACATATGATATGGGGTCCTTTTGGCATCAAAACTGTGATAAGTGCCAAAATTACACACACACACACACACACACACTAATATTTGCTAACATAGATAAAAAAAAAAAAGAACTATCCATTATTCCAAAAGTTGTGCCAGACCTAGCTTTCTGCTTCAACCGAAATCAGTCGTCCACGTACCCATTTCTTGGTTACTATAATTTGTTTTTCCGGTCCTTCAATATTTTCCGAGCTACACTCCAATCCTTCAATCGAGCTGCCACTAGAATCTGCTTGGACACCACCAAGATCCTTGGATTGTAGTGAAAAGTGGCCATTCGAACCCGTCATGTGCTGAAGCTTTTCATCAAAAGAACTTGAAGCTTTCCCATTTACCAGATTAGGGAACAAGAAATCGTTCGAATTCATGTTTTCAAATTTGCTTTCGACTCCGTTCACTTTTACATATTCGAAGATTATGGGTTCTGGGGCAGTTGAATATTTTGAAAGACTTTCGCCATTTTCAAAAGGGATCATTTTCGGGCCATCAATGGACTCGATGATCTGATTAGCTTCAGCTATTAGCATACGGCTTTCGAGTAACGAGGCCTCAGCAAGAGGGTTCATCTTGGCCGATATTTCGAGTACTTCTATAGCTTTCTCAGCTTCGGCAATCAAAAGCCTGCAATTCAGCCATATTCTGTAATTCTCTGGATATCCATTGAATTTATCGTTACTACAGAACACTTCACTGATATTGCAGATTACTGGTAGTTCTTTATTGTAAACAAAAGGCACAATGGAGTAGTATGTAATTCAGAAGTTTAACAGCTTCTTTTCGAGATTAGACTGAATCTCAAGGGTAGTCCTTTTAACTAGCCTAATTGCAAATTAAAATAAAAATAGAAAAGGGAAAAATAGCAATACATAAAAGTTACCTTGCCCTTGTGATGGCTACACTTCTTTTATCCACAGAAGAAGCCCTCTGAGCCCTGATGTGTTTCAACATCTCCAGCTTGGAACTCGCTAATGGATCCTTGTATGATGGTGTTTTACTTCTCTTTGATCTGATTCGTTCAAATGGGCTCATACGAACACTCACAGCATCATTCTTTGGGCTTCTCTTTCGGGGCAGCCCATCGCCACTAGGATTTCTCCTCGGTCTCCTTTCTACGCCTTCTCGAGTGCTATAGTATTTAATCATACTATTTCGAACCTGATTTCGGTACTCCTTACCATTTGAAGAGGGAGAAAAATTAAGGTCAGCATTACTAGGAATCTAGGATAAGTAGTGAAAATGCTGTTCTAGTCCAATCTAGTTATTTCTAAAAGTATTCATGTTGCATCTGATGTGGTATTACTTTTAGAAATAACTAGATTGGACTAGAACAGCATTTTTACCAATATTAAGGTCACTAACTAAAACAGCAAAAGAGACTTATTTCAAGATATTTTTTTGATATGGGATACAGTTAGAGTCTTAACAGAAACTACTATAAACGTTCGTAAATGCTTACTAAAAAGCACAAACATTGATGCAGACATGCAAAGATCAACCCAAGTTTCAAAATTCCAAAAAGCCTACGCAAGGACTGGCTGTCTTATATCCCTACAAAAGCAAATACCAACTCATATTGATTTTACCCTGTTAAATTTAATAGAAAATCAAACCCTAAGGGAAGAACTAGTAGATTTGAAACTTTTTTGTTATATATAAAATATATAAATTAGGCTACTCCGTGCCCATAGTGGACATTGTCCCTATCAACAAAGAAAGTAGAATAAAGACTAAAGACTAAACAAACCTCAAGAGAGCTTTCATCATTCTCAAAGTTAATCGGGATTTGTTGGTAGAATAAATATAGGGGTATAGCTTTTGTAATCATGTTGGTTTGTTGAGATTGCAGCGTGAAGAAGTTTTTTTTGTATTTTTGCATGAACAACTCTGCAGTTTTATTTTGGTTATTAGTAAGCTCGTGTTTTACTTACAAAATCGTTTTTTGTAAGTCTTTTCTGTTTTCTTTTAAGGAGCACGTGTTATCACACGTGTAGCTCATTAAGTGGGGATTATGGGAAAAATCATGCAGCTTAAGTAGGGTTATGTTTTGTGAGCTAAGACTTTTTTTTTCTGTAACTTTAGAGCTTGAAACTCAAACGATTAATGGCGATTTGATCTAGA